CTGGAGAAGCTGGATTTGGTTTGGACCAGCAGGAGAGCAATAATGCTTGAAGGCATTGATCCACGGTCCTCTCCCCACGAGATTTCAAGTGTGCCCTCTTGAAGGTGACGACAAACTTCTCCGCTTGACCATTGGACTGGTGATGGTAGGGCGGTGAGCGTTGGTGTTGGATGCACTGCAGGCGACAAAGGTCTTCGAACATGAACGACGTAAAGTGAGAGCCAATGTCGGACACCAAAACATTGAGAAGGCCGTGTTGACTGAAGATTCGTTGTGGACAACCCAGCGTAGCGGATGCGGTTGGTGGATTCACAGCGACCACTTCAGGCCATTTGGAATAGGCGCCGACCACAACCAGATAGGAACTAACGTCGATCGAGCCAGCATAGTCGATGTGCACTCGAGACCACGGTTTTTTGGACGGCTTCCAAGGCACCAGTGATTGGTGTGATAGCATCTTGGATGCTTGTTGACCAACCTGTAACACGGGGGCGGACGGTCTGATGGTGTCGTCGGTTTGGTCGCTTGGCACTGCCGGAGAATGTACCGTGTTGCAGATCGGCCAAGCCAAGGATTTCGAGCCAGTCGAAACCGAGTAGATTGAGCTGCACCTTCGTGATGTAGCAGATCTTGGTGAACGCGTCACCTCGGAAGGAGACGGAGCAGTGCACTAGCCCAGTTAGCCGCAGGCGACCACTACAGGCGCTGGTGGCTGCTTGGGGGGTCGGTTCGAATGGAGGTTTGCCAAGGGATCATATAAGATTCTCGGAGATGATCGTGATATCCGACGCACTGTCCAAATCCAATGGGATGGACCGACCCTTGACCAAGACGTCGACGGATTTTCTACGATCCGCAGCATTGACTTGGAGCGTGGTCAGCAGATCCAGGGAGCTGCCAAGCGGGCAAGGTTTGGGTTTGTATCTAGATCAGGACCTCTTCCTTGGATCGCGGGTAGGGACCAGCCCAGTTTTGGCCTCCTTGAAGCTGTAAGATGGCAATAACCACCTGGGTGCCTCACCCTGCCACAACGTTGGCATCAGTGCTGGCAGAAATTGCCGTCCCGGTGGAAATGCCAGACACCACAGAATCGGCACACGTAGGGTGGGGACTTCGCTTGGTGGGGCGCATGGATGATTGCACCCTAGGTGCTGCGACTGCCTGGATCATACCAAATGCTGCGACGTTCTGGATCATAGGAGTCGTGATACAGGTTCAGCAGCGTTTGACACTCATCGGCCAGGTTCTGGAGTGTGATAGTGCTATCCTGCTGTAGCTTGGATAGGAGATGTGTCCGGGTATCGGCATCGTGTGCAGACTAGAGACCGAAGACGAAGATCAGGCATTTGAATTGAACCACTGTGAGCGAACCAAGTTGAAAACGCTCACATTCACGGTTGACCACGGCCGCGTACATGATGAAGTCGTCGGCATCACGCTTGGCCAGTTGCAGGCATTGACAACGGGCATTGAACAGGGAAGACGGCTCGCCAAAAATCTGGGACAAGGTTCGGACCGTCTCGTTGAAGGTAAAGTCTCGTGGGTTATTCGGTAAAATGAAATTGGCATAGCTTTGGTGTTCGAGAGTACCCATTTTGCGCAAAAGCAGCCGAACCTTCCACGCGTCATCCTGGCAGGCCAGGTCAACGGTGAAGTGGTCCTCGTACGGCTTATACCAAGTATCGAACGTTAGTCCAGCCTTGGCTTCGTACAGAAATACATTGATGCGGCTAACGACATGGTCCATTGATTGAGAATTGCCAATGGGACCTGCATGAAGGGAATAACTGGAAAGTTTGTCGGTAGCACGGACCTCAATTTGAGTTGCTGCTGCAGTATAAGTTTCAAGTCGGTGTACCCGTTTGTCATGGTTCGAAAGCTCTGCCGTCGCCACTGTAATGGGTTTACGGAGACCTGGTTGCGTTAGCTTAGATGAAAATTACGCGCAACCTAAGCACGGTCTCTACTCACGCACGTATTCGGGTGACATGCTGACGCCTCGAAAACAAACGATACGCAGACGACCGGGGCACTAGACGCGCGAGACTTAGACGCACACGAAACACACGGCTAGAGCGGTGCACACCATCACGTGACCACGCGACTTCCTACCACTCGTAAGAGACGAAGCGGACCTCTGAAAGTTCCTTTACTACTCACAAAGGCCGAATCACAGTTGGCACAATGCTTCATTTTGCGGGCGAAATGAACCACCACGTAGGGCAGGTGGTTTGCGAAAGAACATCGTGCACTTTAGCCCAGCTGCGTCCCAACTCAGTGTAGCTGGATCCTGCTACGTTGTGGACAGGAATTGAACTCTGTGTCTATCATCCCACGCGCTGAATTTTGTGGCGCATTTTTGCAGGGATACTTGGCGTGCTCGTAACAGGTAGGAACTTTCAATGCCTTCGGATGATTGCCTTCCTCTCTCGGGGAGATGAACTCGCGCAAGGACTTTAGCCCTTTCATTACTGCTGTGGAGGTAAACGAAATGTGATTAAGTCCTGATGATAGATTGCTCTGCGTAGGCAGGATGTAAGATCATTGCACGCTTTGGAAGGTACGGCCAGATTGTTGGAGCGTTAATCTCAGAGCTTATTGGTCTAAGGTGATTATGGCTTCAGACGTGAACCACTAGGCTCTGATTTCCATCTCAGCTCAGGCTATCTCCACCTTATGAGTCAAAAGCAGGACGAAAGCGCGGCCGTGGGATGCCAGTGTTGGGATGAGCAACACCAAAATATTTCCAGTTAACTTACGTTGCTTGTGTTCGGAATGACCGAGTTCAACCACAAGTGAACCGAGTTAACAATATAGGTTATTGTAGCAACACAACCCACAGCGGGTTCTCCAAGTCGAAGTTCCAATTCGTTTCCACTGTACAAACCGTTGCTCACGGATCTGTTGCATAGTATTTATGGCGTCAACCGTGAATTACTCGACTATGATTTCCAAACCAGTTCACGCTATCTCATCCTGATGAGTCCAAACGAGGAGGAATACGCGGTCGTGGAGTGCCTATGCCAGGATGAGCAACAAGAAGATATTTTCATTTCACATACCGTCTTTGAGATCGGAATGATCGAGGCCAACCTCAAGTGAACTTAGGTCTCAATAGAGATTGCAAGTAGCAACCCAACCATAAGCGAATTCTCCAAGTCCAACATCAAATTCGTTTCCGTTGTACCAAACTTGCTCATGGATCTTAGTGGCGTAGTTTTTATGGCGTCAGTACTGAACCACAAGGCTCTGATTTCCAACCAAGCTCAGGCTATCTACTTGATGTGTCCAAACCGCGAGGAAATCGCGGTCGTGAAATGCCAGTGTTAGGATAGGCAAATCAAATATTTTCACCTCACATACGGTTCTTGTGATCCGACTGACCGAGGTCTCAATAGAGGTTGCTTCTAGTAACCCAGCCACACAGTGGATTTTCCAAATCCAACTTTGAATTTGTTTTCGCTGTACCAAATGTATCTCACGGTTCGTAGTGACATAGTGTTAGTTACATCATCTGTTAACTACTAGGCTCTGGTATGCAACCCAGCTCAGGCAATCTCCACCTGATAAGTCCAAAGCAGGACAAAACCTCGGTCGAGGGGGAAAAGTACCAAGATAGGCAGAACTAAAATATTTACATTTCAATTACGGTCCTTTTGATCGAAATGACCGATGTCCACCTCGTGTGGACCGAGGCCTCAATAGAGGCTGCTTGTAGCAACCCAACCATTCGATGGATTCTTCAAATCCAACTTGGAATTCGCTTGCGCTGTAACAAGCGCTGCACATGGATCTAAGTTGCGTGGTATTTATGGCATCAGCCGCGAACCACTAGGCTTAGATTTTCATCCCAGCGCAAGTTATCTACACTTGATGAGTCCAAACCAGGATGAAACCGCGATCCTTCGGGGGCCAGTGGTGGGATAAACTACAGCAAAATATTCCTTTTTCGCATGAGGTTCTTGTGATCGGAATGACCGATGTCCACCACAAGAAAACCGTGGTCTCAACAGAGGTTACTTGCAGCAACCCAATTCTCCAAGTCGAACTTTGAATTCGCTTCCGCTGTACCAAGCGTCCTTCCCGATTCTCATTGGCATGGTGGTAATGACGTCATCCGTGAACAAGTAGGCGTTGGTATCCTCCTTAGCTCAGGCTATCTCCACCTGATGAGTCCAAACCAGGGCGAATCCGCGGTCGTGCGGTGACAGTGCCGAGATGAGCAACACCAAAATATTTTCATTTCATATACGGTCCTTGTGAGTAGAATGACCGAGGTCCACCTCAAGTGAACAGAGTTCTCAAATGAGGTTGCTGTATCAAGCCAACAACACATAGAATTCGCTAAGTCCAATTATGAATTCGTTTTCACTGTACCAAATCTTGCCAACGGATCTCAGTGGTTTGGATCATGAATCGCTTAACGGGGACTTATCTCTTGTTGCTCTGTGTGCTGAGTAGCAGAAGAGGAATCCTCTTATCCGGTGCTCACAACGGGATACAAAGCAATAACAGTTTATTACCGATGCACAAACTCTTACCTCTTCACAGTATCTGGCTCTCTCGATCCTATTTCACAATTGCTACAGTCAGAGCAAACAAACAAGGTTACCACCTGATCTATTCCCCGATTCATACACATGACCTCGCGGAAAACACTGAGGATTGAGAGCCGGATGTTGCGCACACTCCTGATTCGGAACACCAGCCGAGATCCAACGCGACGCACCGCACTGGTTTCCATGGTGGTCGGTAGCTATAGTATTGACGCGGAAGCGCAGTGAAAGATGAGTTGTACGATGATGGCGCAGGTTACATACCCTGCCGGAGTGGGGATGTCGCTGCATCACCGCATGGATATGGCGTCGGTCTTGAGACGTCCCGGACGATAACCTGATCGAAGAGCTGACGCCTCGGACTGGGTAAGCTCGCAACGTTTATTAGCTCATTTGGTTCAAACGTATCTTAGCCTGATGATGTGAAAGATCAATTTAACCGACTGTTGTACACCATGATAAATCGACTAACTGAATGGACAAGCGATTCCCAATGGGAGCGTTCCCAGAAATAAAAATTGTAAAGTTGCCAGTGTGAGAGAAGACTGCAACACTTTTGAGATACTGTAGCACAAAAAATAGACTCAGGGAAAACATTTGGGACTCAATAAATATACACTGTACAAAGAGACTCGGAGTAGCCTAACAAATTCCCATGCGGGATACGTGTGATAGAAAAGTGCAACGGCGACTGAACGAAGCGAGCGGTCTGTGCAAAAGATGTAAGCAATCGGCTGAGGACAGCAGAGTGCTGAGTGGAGTTGGACGTTCTGGGTGGAAAACGTAGCTGGTTAAGATTGGCCATAGAAATCATTCAGGCCAAACACAAACATGAATTGACTCAGGCTGCGTTGAGCACGATCGGCACCTGGCGCGGACAGGAGGCGGCCAACTCGGCGCCTGAGGAATCGAGCATGTCGTCTGAAGCTCTGATGTGCAGCATGCAGTTGGTCCCAACCTGAGTGACGAAACGAACAGCCAGGTGTACTTGAATCTGTCAGTGAGATCCAGTGACCGGAACATAACACTTTGTAGAACCAGTGTACGCAGGACAGCATCCCCTGAAATACCTGATGCAATTCGCGGTTAGCTGGATCCAGAAGGCAGCTGCAAATAAAGGAGACGAAAAAGAAAGAGTAATTTAGAAAACGGGCAACGGCCAGAGTGGTACAGGTGAAATCAGGTCACCTGTATTTAAGACAAAGGACGAATAATGTGAACAAAAGTTGTCAAATAAGGAAATGTAGATATACCAAATCAAATAGTCTCATGAGATACGGGGTTAATTGGTAATACGAAGAGCGATGGCTCCTGCTTGAGACCTAGAGAGCTCGCACTGTGAAAGGTGCACAATAGCATTTGGCTGGAAGGTCAGCTGGTGATTAGTGTAAGCCAAGCGATGTTGGAATGAAGATCGGCATGTAGGTGATCCAATGACAGAAGCAGAAAGCCCCGCCCGAGTAGAATGGTTGGGGGCGTACGCGCTGTACCACTGAATCCGGACTGAAGCTGAATACACCAGGAAAACACATGCACTTGACAAAAGAGAAAACATACACTGCCAGGTCACACGGCATGCAGTACAGAAGGACCAGCTGGAACAGCAAATGTAGGTAACCAATGAGAGACAAGAGACAGAGTAAGAGGAACGTTGAAAACATGACGTTCCGATGTCTCAGGATGCATTGTCGGGGGTTCAGTTCCATAACCGTTGTGGGCGGAAAATAGGGAATGAATAGCGAGTAAATCCAGTAGGATGGATCTAAAATGCGCAGATGCTAATGCTGTCGAAGGGGTGGACGAATATATCTGAGAACCAATATAAATAGAAAATTCTAATCCTAATTGACCTGCATTATTACTACTGGTGCAGCAGAAATTCAGATCGAAACACATTGTCAGTGCCTGAAACATAAACACAGAAATTTGTTGACAAACGGATACTTGAATGCTTCCAGAGTATGTAAACCGATTGGGAATGTTTTGTCCTCCAGGCGAGATTAAGAACTAAGGATGGATTTAATTAAGCAAAACTATTATGTAGATAATATGAACATCTTCCACAGCGACTACACGGAGGCACAGGAAATGGGGGATGGAAAAGGTAAGAAAGTTGCCACAGGAAAGACGGTTATAGAAGCGTTGCGTTGCTTGGGACAAGATAACGTCTTTGACCCATTCACGTCCAAGCGCAGGAGTCTCACAGGGACAGTGATTTCAAAACTTTATGGTTTGCCAAAGTGCATAGAAACGGCTTCCACTGAGACCCATACTGGACATGTGTGATTCTCCGTACTAGACAAAAGTGAAGTGGCTTTCCAGACTTCTGGGGTCAATCAAGGAACTTATAACAAGACACAGGTCCACAGGTACATTTGACATCGGAAACTGCTTAAGCTATGTCGAGGTAACTAAAAAGGAAGATGCTTTCCTTAGATGTCCTGTCACTCATCGCCAGTGTTCCATCACAGGAGAGCATAGACTGCCTATGTGATGTTATTCGAACATATCGCCTCGAGGTAGGCCTTTCGACGACCGTCGATGTGCACGAGTAACATATAAGTCCAATTTAACGGGACTATATAAAGACAAAAGACTGAATTACAATGAACTCACTGGGAGGACCGCTACTGGAAAGTGTTTCTGAGTAGGTTAAAGAGTAATCGTCTGAGCTGAGTTACTGATAGCTCACACTACTGCAGAGGCTAGTTGGACGATACCTTATGGATCGCAGATACCCACCTTCGTCCGGAAGAAACAGCGATGCATTTCAACCCAGTGCACAATACAAAGTCAACCCCCGAGTCCGAGCACGACAACTCCATGTCGTTGGTTGAAGTCCAAATGGAAGCAAGATCGGACGCGCTGGTCAAATGGAGGGTCCGTAGGAATTTAACGCGAAGAATGCAATATGGTTGTAGTGCTCGGTGCATAACTGAACAAGCAAGAAGAATGTATCGCGACGAACAGTTGAACTTCAAAAGAAGCCCATTCGAGAGAAACGGCTATCGCGAGAAGTTCATTCAGAAAAATACGGAGACACGATAATTGAAGGTAAGTAGAATAAAAGCGGTTAAAATGTCGTCACCGTTCAAGGAGGATAACAGAAGTAACATGTCCATGTCATCGCTCGAGTCTATTCTGAATATACTATTCGAGAACAAAGTGACTGGACGAAGTAGTAATTCTTGTGCATGTTCTTGCTCTTGTCCATGTCGATCAAAATATGTCAGAAGGAACACCAGAAGATTGTCTGAGAGAGTCAAAGAGCATTATGAAGACAGCTTGTATGGTGTAATAACAGGAATAGTGATCAGTGTTGTATCTGAGCAAGAGGCGCTCCACCCCATCCACATGTACCCAGAGAGTGCAAAGTAAAAAAGTGTAAGTGAATGAGTGTGTCATCCGACTCTTTTAAATATTGTTAGTGCCCATGTAAAGACGAGCGATTCAGGCAGAGCACTCCACAAGTGAGATACACGAATGAAAAAGAAATCTCTGCGGCACTCCAGATGGCTATACTGTCCTGCGAGTTTCAGTGAGTTACCTCTCGGGTTTGTGTAGCTGCTGAGTTGCACACTAAGGAGTGGCACACATGCTGTGGGTCGTGAAGAATCAAGTAGGCCATTATCAGATCGCCTAGTAATCTGCGATATAGTCCGCTGAATACCCCAAATCGTTGCAGCCCCTACTCTTATGGAAGCTTGCGTATTCCAATGACGTATTTAGATGCCCGACGTTGAGGCTGCTCCAGTGCAATAAGGTCGTGTTTCAGTTATTTATGCCAAGCTTGATTAGAGTATTTGACATAGGGGCGAACAAATGAACTAAGCATCTGTCGAGAAATAGCGATGTCAATTCGTCCGACCGTTCGTCGCAACAGCCAGACGTGTTAGTTTCCGGCCTTCGACGCCTTTCCGGATTACCACGAGCAACCTAAGTCATCATGAACCAGCACACACAAATCACGTTCGACGGACGATTGCTGCAGTACATGCGTTTCCAGCCTGTATGAGTATTTTATCTGGTGTCGTATGGAAAGTAACCTGCATGTACTCACGTTGAAAGGTAGTACATTTTGGATTGACCACCGAGGCACCGCGCCTAAGTCATTCAGAAGCAGATGGTAATCAGCATTCATCTGAACCTTGCTCCAAAGCTTGGTGTAGTAGACAAACAGCAGGAAGTTTGAAGTGATCGACTGTGCGAGGTCCTTAATAAACAACAAAAATAATCATGACTTCAAAAACTGCGCCATGCAGTATACCACACTCGACTTGTATGGTCTGCGATAAAAAGCTCCGAACCTTGAGTACTAATTGTCGTTGAATGAAAAAGTTGGCGATCCAGCTTAGAAGAAGGTCAATGATCCCGCAATACTGGAGGTTGGAAAGGAGTATCTGATGATTTAGACAACAGAATGCCTTCGAAAAATTTAGGTGGATCACATCAACATCTTCTCCAGCGTCAGCTGACTCGACCCAATTACTCTATGCGATCAGTAAATTCGTTGCGCACGATCGCGTATCTGCAACGATGCATTCCATAAACTTGGACAGTATAGGGGGAAGAGATTCTGGGCGGTAGTTTGAAGGTTCAGTACTGCTTCCGGTTTTATGAACCGGAGATATTATTCCAAGTTCCCGCATAGCAGTAACATTGTTCTGGTCTAAACAGCGCTGGAAAAATCGAGCCAAAGGTCCTGTCAGTTGGTTTGCTGTTGCTTCCAGTGCCTCTGGACGAATGGTATCGACACCTAGGGAGCTGTGGTTGCGCAGAGACGTCAATTGCTGCAATACAGTTGCAGCGGTAAAGGCAATGTGGGCGGGTCCTGACGGCTGAGCGACAAAGGCCGGAAGATTACTTAATGGCAAGACCCACTGAAACGTGGGGGCATATTGTATCCGCAGTGTGTTTGCGGTTTCGGTAGCCGTTTTTGTTGGGCCATCCGCCGTTTTGAGTAAAGGAAATTCTTGCCACACCTTTCGTAAGTTATTGACATACTTGTACAGCAGTTTTTGGTTAGCACTGAAGGTTTTTGTCGAACGCTGCTAATATGCGGATTTGTCTTCTCCGAGCAGTTGAGTGCAGTGGTTACGTTGGACAAAGTAGTTGTCACAATTTCATGGGGTTAGAGCTCCTCTAAACGTCCGCCATGCTGCGCTGCGCACTAACATCCATTTTCGAGTTCTGCTACTAGTAATAGAAACCGATCTAGACCCGATGCAAACTCGTGTCTCGGATGTATCTGTAATCAGACGACTGAACTAGTTGACGAACTCGAGTCAAGCGACTTCCGGGGGTTTTTCGATCAGGAACGACCAGGTTGCGGCGCTGTCGGGGTGGGTTAATCGATCACAATGTGTGATGGTTCGCACCATCCCATAGTTTTCATTCCGATAATCCGCATAGTAGACGAAGTTTAAACTAATGACTGCATGAACACTGCGACCCAACGGATCAATCATATGCTCCTCGCTGGTAAGCACAAGACCCAGCACCGATGGCCTGTTACCTTTTCTGAACCCAGTGGGTAAATTGACGTGATTGAAGAGCGGAACACTGGCAACGAGCTCTTGTAGATTGGCTTTGAATTGTTCTCCTATCATGGCAGGGGTTTCTAAGCAATGTACGTTGAAATCGCCCACGATAAGGATGTGAATGTGTCTTCCCTTTAGTGTGCATGTTAAAGCAGCCGCAAGGTAGAAATAGGTTTCGGGCATAGAGTTAGGGGGCGGTACACCAAGGCAAAAAGCAAGTGTCTTTGCTTTTTAACTGAAAACGACACCAAAGGGAATGGGGGAACTACGAAGCTGAATCCTCAATGACATTGTACTGTAGGTGGCTCCGGTAATACAGAATTACCCCTCTTCCTTTTGTGAGTCTATCGTTCCGGATGAGCGACATGCTCGGTAACGGAACTTCCGTGTCCGTCATTCCAGCGTGCAACCATTTCTCCGTGACACCGATGATATCGCATGGCTTCAAAAGTTAGCGATGTTTCAGTTCGTCCATTATATTGAAAAGACTCTAAGCATTCGTATACAAGCGGGCTAGTTTCTCGGTCTCTAGGAACCCACAGAAGGTTAAAAGGCTCGGGTGTGAGT